AAGGGGCGTGTCCCTTTGCAACCTGCAGGCGCGCCCACGTTTTATTGAATAGACAATAGTTTCTGCTCAAATGAACTGACACTGAATTTTTTGAATTTGTCTTGTTTTGTGCTTCAAAATGAGTATGAACATGACCCATTTTTCTCAATTTCGATTTTTCGATGGTCCATGCGCCTTTAAAGTCGAAAATTCGAAATCGAGCAATATAGGCCGTGTTTATACTCATTTTGAAGATATTCACAAGAAAAATCTAAAAAATTAATTTTCAAGTGATTTGGGCAAAAATTGAGTTAGTTAAGTCCGAAATTCATTTTTGGTCCAGAATTCAAAATGGTAATATCTTGTCCAGTTTTGGCCCAAAGAGTTTGAAACCTAGTTTTTTGAATTTTCCGCGTTTTGTGCTTCAAAATTAATATAAACACGGCTATAACTACTGTGATTTCGGGCTAGGTACAGTAGTCCAAATTTAAAGGCGCATGAACCTTTGAGGAATCCAAGGTAAGAAAACGGGTTGTGTTTATACTCATTTTGAAGCTGTCAGCAAGCCAAATACGATAAACTAAATTTCAAATAATTTGGATCAAAATATGAACATCAAATTTCAACTCAAAAAATGCAGGAAAAATACAAGGGCCGGTACAACAACGATTATTTGCTGAAATCCCTAAAAAATGGGAGAAACTGACTGAAAAAAAACCGAAACAGTTATTTTTCGGACGTTTTGAAAACAAAAGTTCGCATGCAATCATTTATTTGAATAAATTTCCAGAAACAATTATCAAAAATCGATTGGTGGTTCTCCTGACGGTTGTCCAACCGACAGGAATTGCTGAAAATGGTTTCTTAGAAATTTTGGAAATTCACAAATTTCAAAAAGTTTACTATATGGTTTAAAGCATGGAATATAGGGCAATCGGCACAGTTTCCGTAGTATTTTTAGAACCAAAGTATCCTTGCGAATGAATAGTCAGGTCTGTTTTCTGGAGAACTTTTTCTTTTTTTTTCACAAAATTTTATTGAGAAATTAGGAAAATCTGGCTAAAAATGGTGTAGAATTGCAGTTTTCAGAACGCAAAAATGTCAATTTTGAAGCGAGTTACAATCATTTTTATGTGATGGCCTAGAATTTTCAATTTCTAGGCCACTGGTTACAAACTGTTATAACTTGCTTCAAAATTGACATTTTTGAATTTTAAAAACTGGAATAGAACCAGCAAAAAAAATTCAATCTAGTGATATTAACTTTGACCAAGTTTTCAAAAAGGGGACATATTCTACCAAAGAGGTCCAACAAATTATATACATTGAATGCGGAGCCAAGTTACGATTTCATGTGTTTTCTTGATTGATCATACTATGAATAATAAATACTTGAATTTCGCAAAATATTCTTTCTTTTGTGCTGAATAAAATGCAATTTTTCAACTCAAAATAGTCAATTTTAAAGGGATTTACACTCATATTAAAGTTAGTGGCCTAGAAAACCAAATAAAGCAAAAACTCGGCCACTGTTCATTCTAAGTTGTTAAGCATGTTTAGCTCAAGCTATTACAGTTTTTAGAACGCAAAAATGTCAATTTTGACGTGAGTTACATTGCTTTTTATGTGGTGGCCTAGGATTTTCAATTTCTAGGCCACTGGATACAAACGGCTGTAACTTGCTAAAAAATTGAGATTTTTCAATTTTAAAAGCTGTAATAGAACAAGAATAGAAAGCGAAATCGACTGATGTTAACCTTGGCCGAGTTTTCAAAAAATTAGGTTTTCTAGGCCACCAAATTTCAAATGGTCATAACTTGGCTCAAAGTTGAAAATTGTTGATTCTGAAAACAGTTTTGAAATACTGAAAAGCTAAAAAACAGTTACCGCAATTTGAATGTTGTCTGGAAAAATGAAATATGACATTGAAGGACAAGCAAAACCGTCAAGCACGAATTTTGATCAAAAGTGAAATTTTGGGCCTTCTCCAAAATAGCACCCAAAATCGAGTGAAATTCCTTATGATTTGAAAAGTATTGTACAACATTCTTCATATCAATAAGCACAGAAGGGCATTTGCATTTATCCGGTTTATTGGCTGCAAGAACAACTACAGTAACCCGAAAATCCAATTATACCTACCGTAATCCACACATACAGCATCCATCTTGTCAAAAGTCTTCATTTCGGACCCTTTTTCTATTATCCATTTCTGTTTGTATGGGTCACAGAATCCGTCAGCAGCATAGGCTCCGAACGGAAAAATTTAAAATTACAAAACTTTTTTCGAAATTGAAAAATTTCAATTTAAGCCAAGTTATGACCATTTGAAAGTTGATGGCCTAGAAAACCAAATTTCGAGAAAACTCGGTCATTTTTATTATCATTCGATTCTATATATCTTACTGGTTCTGATCATGTTTTAAAAATTCAGAAATATTGATTTTGAAGCAAGTTACAGCCGTTTGTAACCGGTGGCCTAGAAATTGAAAATCCTAGGCCCCCTTCGTAACTCGCCTCAAGATTAAGATTTTTGAGTTCTGAAAACTGTATTACCTCTAGCTAAATATGTCTCACAATTATAAATAAATCGCGGCCGAGTTTTTGCACCATTTGGTTTTCTAGGCCACCATCTGTAACTCCCTTCAAATTTGACATTTTTTATAATTTTTTCATAGCATTAAATGTGGCCTAGTTTCGGATTTCTAGGCCACCACTTATCATATTCGCGCCTTCCTTATCAAAAATGACCAAACTACTGTCTCCTTCACAGTAAACGGATACTGAGCAATCATCGATCTCTATAATTGGTTTGCTAATTGGATAATTAGTCAAATTTTTATAAAAATCCGAGTTTCCCACAGTTTCTTGAATATTCGATTGATCCAGAGCCATAGTAAGACATTCACATTTTGCTTCAAAAGGATTACTGTAGTTCTGGATTACTGTAACACCTACGTGGAACTGAGAATCGGATAACTAGGCATCCATGGATTACTGTAGGAAATAGGAGAATTAAGAGAATTGGGGTCATCGTTGGAAATGAAATGAATTGGGTGGAAGTGATTGGGAATGGTTGGAAAATTTGAATAATTAGCATAAAATTTGAATTTAATTTTAATAAAAAATTGAAAGTCAAAAATCTCAGCCAGACATTTGATGGCCTAGAAAACCAAATTTTGAGAAAACTCGGTCAAGTTTTATATCAATCGATTTAACTTCTCTTGTTGGTTTTATTACAGTTTTCAGAATTCAAAAATGTCAATTTTGAAGCAAGTTACAGCCGTTTGTAACCAGTGGCCTAGAAATTGAAAATCCTAGGCCACCAGATGAAAGTCATTGTAACTCGCTTCAAAATTGACATTTTTTAGTTCTGAAAACTGTATCAGTTTGAACTAGACAAGCTTAACAATTTGAAATTAATCATCGCCGGGTTTTTTTTAACTTTTTGGTTTTCTAGGCCACCAACTTTAAGGAGTGCTCAAAATTCGTAAAAATAACCCTTTTTCCAGTTTTTTATTACTATGTTCTCCTATATTTTATTTCTTCCTCTGACGTCTTATGTCAGAGGAGTTGAAATAACCCCAAAAACCCCAAAATTTCCTCCTTTTTGATGTCCTTGAACCCCTCAACATCGTCCATTTTCTCTGGAATTTTCCCCAAAATGTTCCTTATTTATTTGGCTATTTCTACAGTAATCCTCTCCGCTCCAACAATTTTTTCCGCACTAGACGGTCCTGTGGATACTGTAGATATCACTGGATTTTCGAAATGCTCGTCCACTTCTAGATGGTTCCGCACTCAATTTGTGCCATTTTTAAAGGAGTTTCAGCCTTTTCCACGTGGATTATCTATCACTTATCACCCGTTATCAATTGGTTCGGGGAGTAATAATGGGTCAAAATAGTAAGTAAATTCGAAATAAGGAGCGTGAGAGATTCAAAATGAGTATAAACAAGCCTAGGTTAAAATTTATTTGAATTTTGGTATATGGCCTAGCCGGCATAGTTTTGGTCCAAACACACTGAAACTTAGTTTTTCACGTTTCCCGTGTGGAGAGCTTCAAAATGAGTATAAACATGACTCATTTTGCTCAATTTCGATTTTTCGATGGTCCATGCGCCTTTAAGTTTGGATTACTGTACCTTTTTTCAAAATTGAGCAACATAGGCCGTGTTTATGCTCATTTTGAAGCTCTCAACGTGACAAATTCAGAAAATCTTATTTCAAGTGATTTGGACGAAAATTGGGTTAGATAAGTCCAAATTTCATGTTTCGTTCAAAATTTCAAATTGCCATATTTGGCCAAGTTTTGATCCAAACCATATGAAATAGATTTTTTGAATTTTCCGCGTTTTGTGCTTCAAAATGAGTATAAACACGACCCATTTTGCTCAATTTCGGTTTTTCGATGGTCCATGCACCTTTAAAGGCGAAAATTCGAAATCGAGCAATATAGGCTGTGTTTATACTCATTTTGAAGCTCTTGAAGCGAAAAATTCAAAAACTTAGGTTTCAAAAAACTTGGATCGAAATGGGCCGAGTTAGGCCGGCCTAAAGACTAAAAAATTCAAAATTTTTAAACCTAGGCTTGCTTATACTCATTTTGAAGCTTTTTTCCTCCCAAATGCAAATTCCTCACTTAAACATTTCAAAGTCCCTCCAAGTTTCCAGTGCCACGTGTGAGAATGGCTGGCTCGAGTGTCAGCTCAACAAGCTGCAATGTTGCTCCAAAAAATACATGCAGAACCAGAATCCAACAACTTTATTGACTACAGTAGCCTGTATACAAGGCAAGGATACTGTAGACCAGGCGCTACAGTGCTTGGCGGAAAATTCAAAAAATCTGTGAGGATTTTTGAACTTTTTTCAAAATTTTTTTTCGAAATTAAAAATTATTTAACTTAAAAATGCAAAAACTAATTTTTAAAATTTTTTAGAATCAAAAAATGTGCAAATAGTGCTGAAGGAGAAGCTTTGCTGCTCGCCGAGCCGTTCCCCCACAACGATTCTATTGTCAGTCTTTAATTTTTGAATTTTTTCAAGATTTAGCGCCAAATGTGAATTTTCAAATTAAAAAAAAATTTTCAGGCTCTCCCTTGGATCAAAATCAATGGAATTCGAAGTTACGAAGCCACTAAACACTTTAAAACTGTAATTTGCACATTGAATTCGGTTAAAGACACAGAAAATTGTTTGAAAGTTGTTAAAAATTAATAAATTTGTTTTTTTCTCTTTTTTTTTGCAGGAAATTGACTGGAAATCGCTGAAAATCGGCTGATTTTGCTGAAAATTAATTTAATTATTTTCAAGTTCCCTCCAAAATCTGGTTTTGCGCCAGACGGAGTTGCTGGCGCGTTTCGCGACACCTGCCTTTGAAAATTGGCGCCAAACAATGGTTTTTGACTTTTGAATTTGGGCGCCGGCGGCAGGCATTTTCTTTCATTTTCGGCTTTTTGGCCCAAAATTTTCATTTTTTCGTATTTCCAGACTATTTTTTCGGGTTTTACAATCATTTTTAGGTCGAAACAGCCTAAATTTCCACCGGAAGTCCCATTTTTCACCTTTCTTCGAATTTCCACTATTTTCCCTCATTTTCAACGAGTTTTCAGGTAAAAAAGACCACAAAACTAACCAAAATGTCACTTTCGGAGACAAAACTCTCTCGCGACAACACCGACGACGGGAAAGACGACGCGGGACGCCTTCAACAGTACAAGAATCTCACTAAGCATGAGGTACTGCTGAAATTCCATAATTTTTGGGATTTATGTGATTTTACCCCATTTTTGAATGAAAAAGAGCGATTTTAGAATTAAAAACCCCTCAAAATCCTCAATTTTCCACCCAAGAATGCCTATTTTTGGTATTTTGTCCGATATTCTGTTTGAGATTCTTCTGGAGCAGAAAATAGCCATTTTTAGGCAATTTTAGGCTCAAAAATGCGATTTTAAAGTCAAAAAAACACCCAAAATCCTCAATTTTCCATCTAAAAATGCTCAAATTTCTTCAGGAACTCCGTCGTCGCCGAACCGAATGCAGTGTGGAGATTCGTAAACAAAAAGGGGCGGATCTGATGATGAAACGTCGTAATATCATTGATAACGAAGATGATGATTTGAATGAATGCGAATCAGAGAATGAGGATAAAGATAAGCTGAGCAATGGCAATCAAATGAGCAATACGAATCGATTGTCAAACGATGAAATCAAGCAAATTCTGTCGTCGAATCCATCTGAAGACGATATGATTCGATGCTTCGAATCACTCAGAAAATCTCTCTCGAAAACCAAAAATCCACCAATCGATGACGTCATTCAGTCGGGTCTTATCAATGCTCTCGTTCAGGCACTTCGTGTTCAGGTACAGTAATCCCGAGAGCTTGAAATGGCTTGAAAATGCTAAAAATGGTCCTAAAAACCTCGAAAATCGGCTAGAAATGACCTAAAGTTCGATTTTTCGACTGGAACACGAAAAATTGTCTAGAAATGTAATATAGAATGGCTTAAAATGCTGAAAATTTTTAGAAAAATTGATTAAAGAGAAGGTCTGGAAGGGCTCAAAATACTAAAAATGGGTCTAATTTTTGCTTGCGAAGGTCTAAAACCTTGCAAATCGGTTGAAAATGGCCAAAAACGCTCTAAATACTAGATTTTTCGGGTTCTGACGGAAGATCCCAAAAATTGGCAAAAAATTTAAAAATAACGATTTTTTGCGTTTTTAAAGAGAAAATCTGATTTTTAACCAAGAAATGATGGAAAAATCTCGAAAATCGACAAAAAATGACCTAGAATGTTCGAAAAACTCGTTTTTCTGGGTTTTTTCCGACTGAATTTCGAAAAATTGACTGAAAATGTGGTCTGAAAGTGCTCAAAATGCTAAATATGTGTCTAATTTTGGCTTGGAAGGATCTCAAAACCTTGAAAATGGGCTTAAAATGACCTATAGTTCTCAAAAATAGGCAATTTAAGCCGATTTTCGAGGTTTTTAGACATTCCCAAGACCCCATTTCGTCGCTAATTGCCCTTAATTGCGCTCCTAATTATCTCATATTCTGGAAAATCGAGATTTCGACGGGAATCAAGGGAGTTTGAACCCATTTGGTGGTCGTTTTGAGCCGATTTTCGAGGTTTTTAAGCCCTTCCAAGACTTTGTTTTTTCGCTAATTACACTCTCTTAATTATCCTAATATTCTCTAGATTCTAGACCCATTTTAGGCTATTTTTATGGAGATTCTGTGGATTTTCCGAGATTTTGGCCATATTTTATCAATAATAATTAATTAAACCATCTTGAGCACTTTCTAGGACATTTTCAGCCGATTTTTGAGGTTTTTAGGCTCTTTCAAGACCCCATTTCCTCGCTAATTACTTTCTTAATTACCCTAATTAATTAATTTGCAGAACAAACGTGAGACCGAAGTATTTGAGCATTCTAGGTCATTTTTAGCCGATTTTTGAGAAAAATACCGATACTTTAAGCAATTTAGATCATTTTTAGCCCTTCAACACCCCATTGCCATACCAGGATTTTCAGAATTTTTGAGAACATGTTGAGCATTTTAGGGTCATTTTCAACCGGTTTTTGATGTTTTAGGCCCTTCCAAGACCCCGTTTCCTCGCTAATTACCCTCTCTTAATTACCCCAATCAATTATTTTACAGAACGATCGTGTGCAATACGAAGCGGCGTGGGCGCTGACCAACATAGTCTCTGGAAGCACTTCGCAAACGATGTCAGCAGTGGAGGCAGGTGCATGTGCTCCTTTGATTGAATTATCGTGTCATTCGGATGGACAAATCGCCGAACAAGCACTATGGGCAGTTGCCAATATTGCCGGTGATTCTGCGCAATTACGTGATTACGTGATTGAATGTCATGGTGTTGAGGCACTGATGCATATCATGTCCCGAATCGATCAATTCACCACTTCACACGTTCGTACCATTGCGTGGGCGTTCTCCAACATGTGTCGACACAAGAATCCACACGCACCGCTTCCAGTGCTGAAGGTTCTCGCGAAGGGACTCGCTGTCCTGGTCAAGGTAATTTTTCGGAATTTTTGAGAGTAATTTGGATCTAGAAGGAGCCAAATAGATCAAAAAACGTCGACATTTTGAGCTAAAATTGCATGATTTGGGTCTGAAAAGAGTCCATTTTTCGCTCATTTTTAGCTCTAGAAACTCGAATTTTCATCAATTTTTCAACCCCAAAACACCGGAATTTTTGAATTTTTTGCTGATTTTAAGCTCTAGAAATCCAAATTTTCATCAATTTTGGAGCCCAAAATCCTCCTATAAATCTTTCTCTGCTTGCGGAATTTTTGAATTTTTAGCTGACTTTCACCCCCAAATCCCCATATTTTCAGCACTCGGACCGTCAAGTTCGTCAGGACGCGTGCTGGGCGGTGTCCTATTTGACCGATGGACCAGACGAGCAGATTGAATTGGCCAGGGAGAGTGGAGTATTGTCGACGATTGTGTCGTATTTGGATGAATCGGAAAATCTGATTGCACCAGCATTGCGAACACTTGGCAACGTGGCAACTGGAAATGATTCATTGACTCAGTCAGTTATCGATTTGGGTGTCTTGGATCGAATGGTCCAATTGATGGAGAAGACGAGATCGACGAGTATTATGAAGGAGTGCTGTTGGTTGATCTCCAATATCATTGCTGGCACTCAGAAACAGATTCAGGTACTGCCCCCTTTTTTTTGACTCCGGGACGTTTCGAAACTGCGACGTTTCAGAACTACGACATTTTTGAAATGCGACGTTTTAGAACCACGATGTTTCAGACCTTTTCTGCATTTTTGTATAGTGATTTTTGCACACCAAATGAGCATTGCTCATTTCAATTTTGTGTTTTTCTCAGGGCTGTCCAAAACGGCGGCCGGGCCTCGGCCGGCCTCGAAAAAGCCTCGGCCGAAGAAAAAAGGCCTCGGCGCGCTCCATTGAGAAAAAGCCTCGCGAGGCCTCGGCCGGCCGAGGCCGGCCTCGCAAATGTGACTACGGTCAGCAAGTCGCATATTTTACGACAAGTTGCGTTTTTTTTTAATTTTTTGTTTTTTCTCGCTCTTTTTCAGCAAATCACGCATTTTTCGAGAGTTTTCTCGATTTTTCCATCGATCTGTGGCGACATGAACATTTCGAACGCCAGTGATGGTCGGTTTAAGCCGATTTATTCATTTGTTTTAACCGTTATTCAATTTCAGACACAATTCAGATGCCTCAATGGTTCATTGATCCCAACAAAACCGATTGTGAATTAGTGATAAAGAACAAAAAGGAAGGATTCGGCGGTTTTTATGCTAGTTGAAATTTTTTTTTTGTTGAAAAAATTAGTTCTTTTTCAGAAAAAAATGCACTGATAAACAGGGATACATGCGAGTGGTTTTTGTTCATCATGCAACCGGCGCAGAGAACGCCGTCAAATTTTTGAAGTATGAATCTTGCTCGAGCATTATAGGAGATAACGGTGGCCATTTGCAGTAGGTCTCGATACCATTCATTTTGTAGCCACCTATTTGAATCCTCCGTCTAAAGATTTACATGAGTTACAATTGAGATACGATCGGCATCAGGTACTAAAGAAAACGACGAACACTGTAACATGAACTAGTGTGTAAATTTCAGATTCCGATTGATATCGTGAACGATGCTCAGAAGCTTCTGGACGATTTGGGAAAAAGTTTTGAGGAAATGAGATATCAGGCGCCACCACAAAGCCAACCACCTGCACGTCATCTCACTTTCCTTCAACGTACTCTGGGCGGATCAAGCGCCCCAAAAAGCAGTTCGCTTCATCAAGAACAGCAGCAATACGAGAGAGACACCAGAAGTATGCCTGCGTCGAAATTTTGGCCTCTGGCAAAAAGCTCCTATCCAATTTTGCACGAAATCGCCCAAAAAGTTCATGCGATTCAAGCTTCGGAAGCAGATGTAGAAAGATCTTTTTCAATCATAAAAAACTTGTACACACCAAATCGTCAGAGCCTGGACTTAAAAATGCTGGAAAAGTTGATTGATTCTCAAAGAAAAAGATCGATTCGACACAGGCGAGGGA